TCTCAGTCTCCTCCCTGTCTTGCCTGGGCTCACGTAGGCTCTGGGCACCTGCCCTCTGGCTCCTGGAACACGACAGGCCTGGTCCCGCCTGAGGCCATGACACGGCCATCACATCCCCCAAGCAGGCAGTTCCCCAGATGTCCAGGGTCACTCCTCACCTCCTGCGGGTCTGTTCTCAGAGGTGTCCTTGGTGAAGCCTGCCCTGACCTCCTGGTGTGACCCTGAAGCCACACTCCCAGGTCCTGAGCCTCCCCACCTGCTCTTTTCTCCAGAGCCCCGCTCCCCTTCTGCATTGTGGGCACCATGCAAGGCCTGTCTCCTCCTGGGACAACGAGTGGGCGAAGCCGGTGCCAGGAGCTTCCTGGATGTGTCTGGGCACCTGGCCCAGGGGCTGGCACACAGCAGGTGCTCATGAGCAGGTGGTGGAAGGAAGGAGTCCACCGTCCTGGAGGGTCTGGGTTGGGGGTCCACAGTCCCCGCTCAACAGCTCACATCAGTGCATCCATGGGGTCCCACAGCTGCGACCAGATAGGGCTCAACAGAAAGGAGCAGCTTGTCCATGAGCTGCCCTGTTGGGGGGGGGGGGCTGGTGGGGAGAACACGGCCCCCAGGCCGCTGTCACTCACCGTGTCCACAAACGGGCACCCGATTTACCTGCATCAGGATTCGCAGTGTGACCCAGGGGGGTGGGTTCTGAGAGACCCTCCTCCACATCGGGGGCCCACAGGTCAGAGGAATGTGGGAAATGCTACAGACAGATCCCTCCTGAGATACTCACACTCCCAGGATCATCAGTTTAATTATTTATTTTTTTTCTAGATGGGTGATCTTTGAAAGGTGACCTGTCATTTTATTTTATTTTTAGAGTATATATATATATATATTTTTTTTTTTTAAGAGAGAGAGAGCATGAGCAGGGGAGAGACACACACACACAGCAATCCCATCAGGCTCCATGTTCCCAGGGCAGAGCATGACAGGGGGCTTGAACCCACTAAACTGTGAAATCATGACCTGAGCCAAAACCAAGAGTTGGACGCTTATCCGACTGAGCCACCCAGGTGCCCCAGGAAACAGTTTAGATGCTTTCTTTAAAAAATATTTTCTTAAATTTATTTTTGAGATGGAGAGAGATCATGAGCATTAGAGTGTCAGAGAAAGAGGGAGACAGAATCGGAAGCAGACTACAGGCTCTGAGTTGCCGGCACAAAACCCGATGTGGAGATTGAACCCATGAACCACGAGATCATGAGCTGAGCTGAAGTCAGACACTAAATCAACTGAGCCACCCAGGTGTCCCACAGTTTACGTACTTTAATCGGATTTCCCAACACGTATGAGCCCGGGATCCATGTTCTTTCTTTCTCTTTTGGAGTAAAAGCCCTACGGAGCTCCTGCTAATCAGCGTCTGATTCTTGGTCTGCTCTGGGAAACTCCCACTTACAGGATAAAGCTTGTGTCAGAGCAGGGCCCCCAGGCTGTTGCCGTCCCTTCTGTCCCTGCGCGGGGGCCCAGGCCGGCTGGGCAGAGGGGAGGTGCATGCTCAGTGGAGTAGGTCCGGGTGGCAGGAACTGTCAGCCCTCTCCGGCCGGAGCTGCGGGAACTGGGTGGTCAGAAGCCCGAGGAGCAGAGTCAAGCAGGCAGGGCCTCGAGCTCTGACCTGAGCCTCGAACCCCTTCCAGAGAAGGCGGCTCAGAGCCCAAGGCCTCGTCTGTGGGGCCGCCTGTGGGAGGAGTCGTCTGCTTGATTCAGGTGCGGAGTGTGACCCACGTCGAAGCCTGGTGTCCAGAGAATTGTCCCAAATCCTTCGCAAGGCCTGTGGGAGGAGACCCTTCCTCCATCCAGGAAACATGCATCGTGCGCCCACTGCCCACGTGACCTTGTGACACCTGAGGACACATGATGGAAAGGCCGTCCTGGACCTCAGGGGCTCCGGTTTCCTATGGAAGCTGCAGACCCCACCCCCAGCTGGACGGGGGCCCAGCCAGGGAGGAGGGGCCGTGGTCCTGCTGCCGTGCTGTCCTTCATGCTCAGGTGGCCTGGGACACGAATCCCCCCGCAGTCCCCGCCTGCCGGGTGGCCGTGCTGTCCTGACCTTGACCCCAGCCTCCTCGGCCTGGCTCTGCCTCCCCCCTGTATGCTCTCCCCACTTCTCCCCTCTGTCCTCAGGCCTCGGGCTCAGTGGCTGGTGGCCCAGGACCCGCTGCTGCTGAGGGCTGTGTCACCAGGTCTCCAGGTGCCTGTTGTCAGGTTCCTTCCTCTTAGGGCTCGGCCATGTCACTTGCCACCCTCCATGCACGGGGACCCTCCGTCACTGAATCACCTTCCTCCTTCCCACCATGCTGCATGTATATTTAGCTCTCTGTCTGTCTGTCTGTCTCTCTACTGGTAGACATTCTTGCATGAGGGGCTCGTGTTACCTCTAAGTGGAATTCCCACCCGGCCAGCCTCGGCCACCCCTGGGACACTATCACCCAGACCCGGAGCAGGAAGCCCACAGCACTCGGACCAGCCTCCTCTGCCTACAGCTGCCTGGGCCTCCATCAGGGACAGAGACCAGGTCCTCTGGGGCCTGAGCCACATTTGTTCCCGTGACTACGACTCCTACCTTTCCTGGTGTCCCTGTGCACCCACCTGTCCCCCATTCGGCCACCCAGTCCCCCTCCCTAGAGCCACCTTCCTGTTGAAAGAAAACGCCGAGGCCCTCTGGACTGAGGCTCCCACAGCCTTCCCCGAGCGGATTTCTGTGTCTACCCCCCGCCAGCCTGGGCCCTCCTCTAGGGCAAGGACTTAGCTTCCTGTCGCTGCTTCCCTGTGCTGCACACAGTAGGCGCTCATGACCTGTGTGTGCCGCTGAGCTGATGGTGGAGGGCTTCTGGGCAGGAAGTCTCCAGCGGCAGTTCTGTCCTCGGCCGCCAGGTGGCGGTGGTGCCTGTGCTCAGGGCTGGGAGGGAGGATGCTCAGGGAGGCTTGGGGGGCTCAGGTGGGGCTGAGGGGGCGGGGCCGCAGAACTTCTCCCTTTGACCCCAGACCCACCACAAGGCAGAAGGGGGAGATTAGCGCCAGCGACACCGGGAGGGGTGGCAGGTCACAGGGGGCGGCAGTGTAGACGTAAATGTGCAGCCAGGACTCAGGGATCAGGAGGCAGACCTGGAAGGTAGGAGCCCAGGTGGGCGGTGGGGGGCGAGGTCCTGGTGTAGGAGGGGTGCGGGCTGGGGACGAGGGTGGGGATCTGAGGTCCAGGACTGTGATTGGGGGGGGAAGGGTTATGTGGGGTTGGGGGCGGGGTGGGTTACCTGGGAAAGGGGGATCCCTTGAGGATCCTGAGTCTGAGACTCAAGGTCCTGATCCAGGTTTCTGGGGTGAAACAGCCTGGAGGGGAGAGTAGGTTTCATGCCCCACCCCCTGAGACACACCCTGAGGGTGAGGGCAGATCCCTAGAGAGTGAGATGGGACGCAGGTGTCTCCTGAGATGGCAGGTCACTGGGGGCAAATATCTTCTCTTGAGAGAAGGTTTTGCTCCCTGGAAGGAGCCTGTCTTGGAGTGAGAAAATGCACCCACATTAACTGCACAACCCGCTCCCCAGTGAAGCCTCTGTGGCCCTGTCTATCCCTGCCTGCTCCCCTCTCTGGACTGGGGTACCGTCATCCTTGAGAGTCCTGGGAGAGGTTCTGAGAGGCTGGATGGGTGATCCTGGGGACCCTGTAAGGCATTTCCCACATGCCCCCCCAGGAGCACCCCCATCCTGACTGGTCCCCTCTCCTGAGCACTTCCAGCTGCAGCACCTGCCTGCCTCCCCTCCTGCTGTAGGACCCTGAGCAAGTCACCTGCCACTGTGCACCTGAGATTTCTCCTGAACCAGAGAAGATGCTAACGGACTGACCTCCTCAAGGTGTTCATGGGGTCAAATGAAACAAACACATGAATCAGTGTCTAGCATTATGTACTCAAGTAGTAACAGCTATAATAAAGAGGAAGTCTAGGGGCTCCAGGGTGGTTGAGTTTGTGAAGGATCCGGCCTTGGCTTAGGTCATGTTCTCCAGGTTCATTATTTCAAGCCCCACATGGGGCTCTGTGCTGACAGCTCAGAGTCTGGAGGCTGTTTGTCTTTTGTGTCCCGTCTCTCTCTTCCAACCCCTGCTTGGTCTCTCTCTCTCTCTCTCTCCCTCTCAAAAATAAATAAACATTTAAACAAATATAAAGGGGAAATCTAAGGGTGCCTGTTTGGCACAGTCGATGGAGTGTGTGACTCTTGACATGGGGGTGGTGAGTTTGAGCCCCACTTTGGGTGTAGAACCTACAGAAAAAGTAGTCTAAGGTTTGTTAGCTTAAATTAAAAAAATTAATGACACTGGAAATAACTGTTCTGTGTTCTCTCTGGAAGACAGCTCCTATGACAAGACAGTATTATACACACATGATTAAATTGGAGCAACAGTGTCCAGAAAAAAGTGTCCCTCCTCCCTTGTCTTCCCAGCTCCTCTTCTGGAGGGAACGTGTCCATGTGCTCACAGTTCACTGTAGCTACTGTGCTTCTCGGAGTTACTTTGTATCAACAATCCAGACACATCAATGTTTTCTGTGCCACAAAGTTACATCACTGTAAAGAAGTATCCTGGGGGCAGGCGGTGGTGCAGTGGGTCAGCCTCTGACTCCTGATGTGTGCTCAGGCCATGATTTCGTGCCTTTTGTGTCTTTCCAAAACATATTCGCCAGTCCCAAGAACATCTAGATTTCTCCATGCTGTCCCGTCAGAGTTTCCTGATTCTTCATTTATATGGAGGTCACTGATCTACGGAGTTAGTTTTTGTGAAGGGTGTGAGCTCTGTGTCTCCGTTCTTTCTTTCTTTCTTTCTTTTTTTCCCCCTTCCTTCCTTCTTCCTTTCTTTTTTCTTTCTTTCTTTCTGCACGTGGATGTTTGGTTGTTCCAGCACCATTTGTTTTTTTTTTTATTAAAAATTTTAAATGTTTTTGTTATGCCCAAATCACGATCTCCCCAAAATCCCACTACCACCAAGGAGTCTGAGTCACATATGCAAAAGCAAAGGGCATTTATTCAGGCTTAAGCTCGGGCTCGCAGACCTCACCAACGCAGCGGATGCGTGCTGAGCCCCGAACAATGGAGGAGTAGGGTTTTTATCACAGTTAGGGCGGGGAAAGGGGTGATGGACAGAGACTACAATGTGATAGGACAGGGTGACGGCAGAGGTTGATGCGGTGTGGAGGGATTGGTGGGTTTAAAACTAAGCAGGCCAGAAAAGTGGCGGGAACGTCTGGTACTTTCCCAACCTCCGGTGATTGGTTCGGGCAGGGGAAAGGGCAGTTGCTTAAGCCTGCTCAGTCATGTCTCAGAAACTTAGACCTTTTAATTTCTGAGGCCTTCTGAAGCCTGTCATGGCGCTGGTTTGGTTCTTCATTTTATTTATTTCTGAGAGAGAGAGAGACAATGTCAGCAGAGGAGGGTCAGAGAG